CCCATCATCAGTGGTCTTGGAAATAATTCTTGCATTTAATTATTCGTAAACAATTTTTATCAGACTGTAAGTACTAGGGATTGAACTCGTGCCCAGCCAAATTTGAAGCTCAGAGTTAGCGCTTCTTAACCAACTGACCCAAAGCCCTCCTTGATTTTCATGTTTCGCACATTTTTATGGAATTTTGTTAATTTGCTGTAAAAGTTTTATTAACAAATTCACTTGCTCTGTTTATATTAGAACGAAATTATAAACCAGCTGTAGAATAATTGAATTAATTAATTATATTTTTATTTTTAATTGTTAAATTTCCATACTATTCTCTAAATAATAGTGAGGCATTAGTTATTTATTTTTGTAATTTGAATATATTTGCAAATAAATTCATTTCATATTATTTTAAATATTGTAGAAATTCTAAATTAATATATTGAACCTTTTCCCAGTTAATGCATCTGGCCACTTTTACTCTTTGATAGCTAGGAGGTTTCTACAGAGTCCCACCCATCTCACTGACTAATTTGTGTATTCCTCATAAGCTTCGTGATTATTCAATGACTGATCTAAGATCTGCGTACCGCCCCCGCGGTTAGTGATTAATCTGAGATTAGATAGTGGCACTCGGTTTTCGCATATAGCTTCAGGATTTTGTCCACTTCGTTTGGATCTATACTAACTTTATCTGCTAACTTCATTACTAGTGATTCATGTGTTTATTTACATAGAATACATGCATAAACTAAATCAATTGAAAGTAATAATAACAATTATGAAAGATGCCTCAAAACAACCAACCAAAATATTTTACAAATAGCGCAAATGGAAAATCTTAATCTCAGTGTAATTTCGACGCTTGCAATAATTTCCACTTTTGATTTTATTAATTTTCTTCTGCTTCGACTAAATTTCGTTTACTTAAATTCATTTCGAAAACATGTTCTTGACAATATTATGAGCAAGCATTCCACAGCAACTCGGCAACATTGCAATGTATGATAAAAACAAAAATTAAAAAAAAAAAAAAACAGCAACGCTACTTAGCATTGTCTTTTCACTCCGCTAGCAGCATATACATACGTTTATTGCACAGCCACATTAAAATTTCGAAAATAACAACAGGCAGACACACATTTACATATTTTTAAGCTTATTTGGGACTGACGCCAACGTCATATCATCTTTGGCATGACTGACGAAGTTCTCTTTTCTTCAATTTTTATTTTGTTTTTGTTTTTCTTTTGGTTAAAGAAAACAAAGAAAATTCTACTTTTTGCAGTTGTTGGTTGTTGGTTGTTGTACTTTATTACTTTTTGTTTGTATGCATTTCTGCCTGCTTCTTCTTAATGTTATATTTGTTATATTTTCCTGAGTTCGTTTTACTTTACTAAGTGGAAGGCGCATATTTACCTCTGCGCTCGGCTCGATTTATGTTAAAATTTAGTAAATCTCTGCATTTGTAAGTGTGTTTGTATGTGTGTGAATGTATGTTTAAAACATTTAACTGATATAAAGTTGCTAAAATTTGGTTACGGTTATTATAGCACCACAAGCAACAAAAAATTAATTTAATTTTAGCACCTCGTCGTAAATGCTGATTTATAAATTTTGAAGTATTTTTAGCTACGCTACTACATTGTCATAGATAATTCATTTTCATAAAAACTCTATTATAGCAGTTGTTTTACTAACATAATCTTTACTAATTTTAATTTCGAATGATTTTAATTTTTTTTATTTTTTTTTAATTTAACCAAATCAATAATCATAATTTTTATTATTCCATCATTTTTTGTTAATGTATAAATTACTGAAAATTTTTTTTTTTAAATAAATTTTAGGTGCTTAAAATAAAAAAGAAAAATGAAACAAATTAAATAAAATTTAATTTGTATGAATTATAAAGTAAACAAGACTTCCTTCACGTAAGCAACCTGCGGTATCTCGAATGCATTTTATGTGCATTTTTCGTCATTTGGGGAGTTTAGGTATATTTGTTGTTTCTTAGTATTTTTGATCCTTCGCTACTTAGAGGATTCATTATACCGAATATTCATTACATCGGAAGTTCACTGTGTATACCTAAAATTAAGATCAGTACCTAAAAACACAGAAAAGGGAAGGGAAAAGAAAAATCGCGAAAAAGAATAAAAGAAAAGTGTAAAAAATAAAAGAAAAAATGGGAAAAAGAATATAGGAAGAAAGGCGAAACAGAATATAAGAATATAATGTATGTAGAAAAACAAAAAGATAAAAGAAACTTCGAGAAAAAGATAAAAGAAATGTATAAAAAAAAATAAAAGAAGAAAATGGAGAAAAAGAGTAATAGGAAGAAATGCGAAAGAGAATATAATAATATATAAAATGAAAACAATAATTAATGAAGAAATTAAAAAAAAAAATAAAATAAAATAAAAATTCAAATAACAAAAAAAATAAAATAAAAATTCAAAAAAAAATTTATAAAATTTTCAAAAAAAAAAAATCAAAAAATAAAAATAAAATAGAAATTCCAAAAAAAAATTCACAAAAATAAAAATAAAATAAGAATTCAAAAAGAAAAAAAAAAGAGAAAAAAAGAATAAAAACAGGACTTACGAAGAAATATTTGTGAAGCACTGCTTAATAAAAAAATTTTAAAACCGTTTTCTTTTATGTTAAAATTGTGACTCTATTACATTGCGTTAGGGAAACAAGAATATTTTTTGGAAAAATGTGTCCCAAATCCTTAGGGCCATGTTATACGCACATATGACAATGTCCATGTCAGTTCTACGTTGTTTTTGGTCATGAACAAAAGGCAAGTTATATTACAATTATCAATTTCTATTTGTGCCTTAATGTAGAGAGTAAGGTAATATTTTTTGTATAGAAATATACATATTTACTTCTAATAGGTACAAATACCAACACATTACTGAGTAACCCTGTTTTTACCAACGTGATGACCCACACAAAGCTTCGACAGCGGGACTAAATTTAAATCGACATTTCTGTAATACTCAATCTTTTTTCAAATTTGACATGGCCATGATTCTCTGTATAACATAGCCTGTATTTATTGTAGTTATTACAAATTGGTTTTCCTGACTATGAACTACATAATCGTTGTAGCTTTTAAATATCAAGGAAAAAACTAGATCTTCAAAAAAGCTATTTTTGATATATTAAACATTTCTGACTTAAGATACTTTGATTCTCTTATAAAATAGCTGCTTTCATGACCTATTCAAAATAAATAGATCTACTTCATATAGTAAAGTACTTTTATTCTATACTTTTATTCTATAATTTTATTCTATACTTTTATTCTCTTATACAATAGATCTACTTCATATAGTAAAGTAAGTATGGTAAATTTGAAGAGTGTAAATTTAACGAATGTTAATGTAAATCATTTCACAGCCTATTAAAAACCACCAAAAATTAATCATTTTGATTAATCAAGCGTAATAAATTTAAATATATAAAATTTTAACTAATGTTAATGTAAATTAAACTCTTGGTATAAAAAAGTACCTATGAAAAAATTTATTAATTTATGGGCCGGCGTCTTTCTGCTACAATACCACAATACCATTTCCAGTGAGAAAAGCAATATTCTCTTTCTCAATTCAAGTTTATTTTTATTTAAACAGCAATAAAATGGATATAATATATATAATATATTTCTAAAAGAAAGAAGTTTTACAACT